GCGGGGCCACGTGTGGTTATGCTGCCAATCACGAGCGATTTTATATCATATAGAATAGTGGTTTCAGCCAATACTGAGAAGGTTATTCAAGCCAGACTTGGCCAGCCGCGCGGGTTTGCTGTATTCATATGCTAATTAGGGCCATTAGTACAGCTGATCGCTCTCAACATACGTCACGGTACGTTTTCGACAATTTGTGGCACGACAAACGCGGACAAGCACGGGTTGCAAATTGTCGGAAACTGACGAAAATCAGGCAGATCTGAGGGAGTTTACGGGGGTTTACGGGGACGAAAATCTCACTTTTCATGCAGTGACAGGGAGGATCTATCACACTCACCTTCACATTCACACTGTGATGGGAATGAAGTCTGGAGGAGGAGTGATAGTTTTCTCCTGTGAACCCCCTTTTGTACCAAAACACTGTCAATACACCATTATACAGTAGCTATAAGTTGGAAACACGTTTAGCGGTGGTCTGTAACACGTCAAATATGTTTATGTGTTGGAGAGAAGTTTTTGATGAGTCACGCAGAAGTTGCTCATAGGTTTTGGATAAGCTAGACACCAAGACTTATGAGTGACTGACAATTAACGTATGTCAACGATCAGATAACTCATCTCTGACTTACAGCATATGCATGAGCAGGGGGGGATTTACCATTAGATTTAACCCCGCCTCCTGCTCTCCTCTATTTTGTATGCTGTCATTATTCATGCAGTTAATATTTCATCCAAATGATAAATGGAGAACAGAAATCGATAATGGCTTGTTTACAATAAAAAGGACTAAATTTTTTACTTCTTGGAAACACAGGAAGGAGCAATCAGCGAAGTGAGCTTAGTGCTGGGAAAAAAAATCTTTCATTCCTTTTGAGATAGCATGAAACGTCAGCTGAGAACAAAACAGAGAGGAAAACAAGAAAAGGGACGAGAGGGACAAAACCTAGAATAATGGATGTATATTCTATTAAAATTTCTCTATCTGTATAATGGTTCCATTTTACGTGTTGTCTTCTTAATCCAGAAGGCCCCCTGCCTGTCTTTGCCTAGGGCCCCAAATGTCCTAAATCTGCCCCTGCGTATGAGCATACACTGGCATACATAAATTTGAGCAAAATTTCTCGATGTACTTGCTGAATGTTGACATGGGCCAGCCTGCTTCAGCGTGTTTCAGCATGCTTCAGCGTGCTCTTAACTTTTACAAAAAGTACTCATAACTTATCCAACGTATGTCAGTGTTTTTTTACAGACTTTTCGTATGTCAGGCATATGCTGGTCTAAATCGTCCAGGTGTGACAGGGACTTCACTGATCAGAGCCTCTCATTCCTCTGAAGAAGACGGATGAATCTCCCTGGAGCCACTTGGAGCCTATTCTCTTAGTCATGATCCAGATCTATTCAACAAAGATCCAGGTTGCATGTTGAAGGGGCCCTTTTCTGTTTTGTTTGCTTTGGGCTTTTTACATTTCTCTGTCCCAATGAGGTCTGGAAGAACAATTTAATATATAGTTTAAACTGTTTATGCCTTTATTGTTAAACACATACATTTATGGATTAGGTAAATTAATTGTGATGAGGACAAGACGCAAATCTTATGTTCACCATAACCTGAGATATAACATTTAAATAGCAAGATACATTTCAAGGTGTAAATACTTGTGTTTTTAATTAAAGTGGAACATTATCTCTTAAGTTGTGAAGAAGGTTTTAATCAGTGATTAGAATTTTGCAACAATTTATTTAAAAACAAATGGTGTGTTGGAAATTACACAGGGTGGTTGAAATTACTGGTTGTTGTGGAAATTACAATGAATGGACCATACAGTCAAAAAACCTTTCTTTTTAAAAAACTTTATGGAGCATAAAAATAAATAATAATGATAAATCAATACATTATTAAATAATAATAAATGAATTGCTGTTGTGCATAGGTGGTATTAAAGGTGGGAGAGAAGGGGTGGCACCACCGCTAAATGCTTAGCATTTTAGAAACATATGAAAAGTTGTCTAAAAAAAGTGTTATTTTATACTATTACCACATTGTTGTAATAAAAAAATTAGTTAAGGAAAATGTGAGAGAACAAGGGACTTGTATGTGTATCTATGAATTACGCCTACACACGTAAATGTAATTTCCACCACACCAGTGTAATTTCAACCAAATGGGTTGGAAATTAGTGTGGTGTAAATTACAATCTGACAGAAATTGGCGGGAAAATCTATTCTAGCATTACTAGCTAAGAAACGGTCTCTAGCATTTTATGCTTACAAAATACATCTATGTGTGTTAAAATAACAATTTCCAAGCTGAGTTGATGAAATTACATACAATAAAAATATTTTCACTTCAAGCCATATTTACCTTGGCTTTACTTCAAAAGTTGATGGATGAAGTCAAAATTTCCACCATGTCAGACTTGTGCTGTGATGTCACTGTTCATCTCCATAGCAACTACCCAAACAATCTTTAATACAAACTTTTTAAAGGGACATTACATTGTTGTGGTGGAAATTATGACAATAGTGTGGGACAACTACAATTGGTTTAGAAAATCCCATAAAAACTTGTAGAGCTATCTCTATAGTTATGGTTATAGTTATAGGTTTAGACTTCTGGAGGACATAAGGACCCCTTTTCATCATTCTGCTTTATTCTATCTCTATTCTCCTACTCTGCAGAATCTG